AAAATTCATATTTATAAAATTATTATTGTAAGTTTGACTTTAACGTGTGCGACGACATTTGCGACCATCATCTCGGCACCGAGAGAATGTAGAGAAAATAATGTTAGTGATTTCTTTTTTGTGAACTAAAGTTTGAGAAAACGACTTCTCTATACATTAATAATGAAAAAAAAAAAAAAGTCTTTTCGTGCTTGTCATTCATTGTCCTTCTAGACCCACAGAAAATTTATTTTGATTGTTGAGTTAATTTAAGACCGAGTAAAAAATTTTTAAAAAAAGTGAAATTATTCTATAAAACTAAACTTTTTATTCATATTCATATATATATATATATTTAATTATCTTATTCATAGACTACGCATGTTGACTTTTAAAACCGTTTGCAAATTTTTTTTAGTATTTTAGTTTTTAATTTTTAATTTTATAAAATATTAATTAAAATAAATATTAAATAAATATTAATATTTATCAATTAAACCTATACAAAAATATTTAAAAGATTAAAAATATTAAAAAAAAAAACCCACACTCCCACATGCTTTTTTTTAGTTTCATTTTTTATCCATGTGGAGCATTGAATGAGATGTTCAGAGGTGGCTCCTGTAAAAATATAAAAAGTTACCACCAGTAAAAGGCAGAGCTGAGTCGATGGAGAGAGAGAGTATGTACGGCTTATTTGGCTTGGCTGATAAGACATAGAAAGAGGCGAATGCCACCCATTTGGAGAACAAAAAGTGACTTACATGTCCAATCAAAGAACCCAACTATACCTCATTGTTTATTTAACCCCAAAGGTGGTCAGGTTTGGGATCCCCCAACCTCAGCCCATTCATTTTTATTTCATCCAAAGCCTTCAAATTTAGTCTAGTATGTAATTTACTACTAAAACTATTTTTGTATTTATTTTTGTTCACACCCATGATCACTTCTTCACCATTACAGTACTTATTTTCCTGATGATTGCTTCTTTTGTATTGGCCTTCCCAATTACTTATCTTGGAAAGCATAATTCAAGTCCTATTCACCTATTCACCTATTCCCCTTTATTTTTTTCCAATAACTTTTTTTTTTGGATAAGGACAATGGGGAAAGAGGGATAATGAGTCTACTAGTGTAACAATTAAAATTCTGATATTCGTCAAAAGTTTAGTACATCCAAATCAATATAGTCAAAGTTGCGAGTGCTTTTTTTTTTTCCCCAATAACCTAGTTTAGTGCTTTAGTAATAATGTTCTTTCTCTCGACGCAAGAAATGTTAGATTTGAGTTTTAGCACGATATTCAATGAAGCGAATCAAGAAATGACATGCAATATTTTTATTAGATATTTATAATTAAAAAAGTATATATTAATTTTAATTTTTTTAAAAATTTAAAATCTTAACATTAAACTATTAAATTATTTTATTTAATTAAAATTTAATTTAAAATTTTAAACTTTTATATTATTAAATATTGATATTAAATTTATAAAGTAATTATATATTTTAATATAATTCATCTTTAAATTTAAATATTAATATTTGATACAATAAATTTTTGAATTTTGAATTTTTCTGATTAAATATAGGTGTCAATATTTAATAAAATAAAATTTTAAATTTTAAATTAAATTTTAATAAAATAAAATAATATTATTTAAAGTTGATATTCTAATTTTTCTAAGATTAACATTCTAAATTTTTCTAAGATTAACATTCTAAATTTTTTTTAAATTAAAATTATTTTACACTACTTTTTATAATTAAAATATATTTTATATTTTTTATATATTTTGAGGCTAATGAATGATGATACTTCCAACGTTGCTCCACAAAAGACCCAATGTGTTCAATTCAACCAAACAATCTTAATTAATTAGATACACGAAGAAAGTAAGCAAAAAGAAGCCGGTGGCACATTCGAAATTTCTGTAATAACAAAGTCCATTTTTCAATCCTCAAATTTTGAGAGAGTAATCCTCCACCAACTCTCGAAGACAAACGGCTCCTTCCCTGCTACTCTCGACTATAAATCAAGGTCGTCTCCCTCAACACCATCACTATATTATTGAGAAAGAAAAATTAACAGATCCTCAGAGAATGACGATCACCATGAATCCTGATCAGCTCCAGGATCCTGTGCTACTTGTCTCTCAAATCTACCCTTGTGTATATACTTCCTGCACAGAGGTACCACATCAAGGTTAGAACCAGAAAACTAGCTCAAGAACTTGTTTTAGTTTCCTTGTTCTTTTGATCTGTTATTGTTATACTTTGTCGTCTTTAACGTTTGATGAAAGTACTGACTGGTCATGTCTTCAGGGGGACCGAAGCCGCGGCGGAGGCGTAAGAAGACCAAGGGAGGCGAAACCTCCGTCGGGACGAAGAAGAGGAAGCTCAGCCAGGAGCAAGTGAACCTTCTCGAGTTGAATTTTGGGAACGAGCATAAACTGGAGTCGGAGAGAAAAGACCGGATAGCGGCGGAGCTAGGTCTTGATCCTCGCCAAGTGGCGGTTTGGTTCCAAAACCGCCGTGCTCGGTGGAAGAACAAGAAGCTGGAAGAGGAGTATTCCAGGCTCAAGTCGGCCCACGAAAACGTCGTCGTAGAAAATTACCGTCTTGAATCAGAGGTATAATACCCTCTCCACCCTCTCCCTGAACGATATTTACGAAATTTTTTTTTTTACCATTTTTCGTGTCTTGAATCAAAATTTTCCCGTTTGGTTACAAAGAAAAAGCGTGAACTTAATTAGTATACAGATAATTCCTTTTCCCTTGGAGATCTGTGTTCTAGCTATTACTTTTCCAGCAACCAAACAGAATCTGTGTTCATTTCAGTTTTAGGCAGAGTGTGTTTTCCTAACAGGGGACTGCTTTTTAAAAGAAATTTCTTTATCTCTTAAATTTTACTAGTGTTAGAAAAATACGGGATAATGCGTTTATTTCCGTCATTTGAGACTATTTCGCTGACTAAAACCTTTCTCTACTCAATTTATTTTCGAATGTAAGACCTTTAATTAATCTAGCTTCTTTTTTTTTTTTTTTTTAACATTAGGTTGGGACTCGCACCTTATATTTATTAATAAATCTTTTACAAAAGAGATCAAGGTGGTCATAAGGCCACGTTCTTAATTAATCTAGTAGTGTCTTAAGTTATTATTGATTAAAGTATCTCATTAAAGTATTAATTTTTTTAGGTTAAATCATTTATTTATTTATTTTATTCATATATCATATAATTTAAATTTAAATTTTTTTTATTTTTTTACAAAAAGAGAAAAAAAAAAGTTACATAGATGGTTGAAATTGTTTGCAGTTCTTAGAAACCAAAATTTTTTGGTCTTATTCCAGGCATGATAGGTGCCGGGTAAGAAAATTTTCCATCTCTAAAATTTTTAATATTTCAAAAGAAAAAAAAAAAAAAGGTGACCCACCAACCACGCAGGAACGTGCATGGGCTCTGGGCTCGAAGAACCCGTGCCATCTAGTTAGTTTTTGGTCTTTAAAAAAATCGACCAAAAAAGTGGGTGAAATTTTTGACAAGGAACAGCATACTGCCACCTCACAACACAACAAAAAGCCACTTCAATTTCCAAATCAACAGTGTTTCCGTACCCATTTTGTTGTTTGTTTAAAGGTGGCTATGCTGGTTCTTGCCCAGGCGCGCTTCGGGGGAATAACCCACCCGTTAATCCACTTCTCCCGCACACGTGCAAAAATTACTTCTCTTTCACTTAATAAAAGAATCATTAATACGATTTAAATTATATTGAATTGAAAAATTAAAATTATATTTAAAAAAAAAAATTTAACATAGTTACATTGTAAGGTAATAAGTGCGTAGAAAGAACTCAAACTTGAATTTGGTGAAAAGCATCATATAAGGCGCAATTAATTACTTTACCTAAAGCTTCTCATATTTAGAAGTCTTTTATCAATTCAATTATTTTAGTTTTATAGTTTAGATTATAAGATAACAACTATTTAATTTAATTTATCCTGTTTTTAAAATTTATAAGGGTTTTAATTTTAATCTCGTTTTCAGGTTATGAAGCTCAAGGAGCAACTGTGTGAGGCGAAGAAGGAGATTCAACAGCTGGCGGAGCGAGTCGAAGGGGTTTCAAGTAACAGTACCCCGAGCTCGTCACTCTCGGTGGACGCCGTGGATCCACCGTTTCTTGGAGAATTTGAAGTGGAAGAATACGAGAATGTTCTATACATGCCGGAACCCGGTTATGTTAATGGCCTAGATTGGATTAACTTGTACATGTAAAACTAGTGGATTGTGGTATTTGATTACTATTTGTAGATATAGATCAATCTAATGTACATCTTTTCCCCTAGATTGTCCTAATTAATTAGTGTAGTTTTCCTTTTAGCGTGTTTCGAGGGACAAATGTGAAATGTTTGCTCTTTTTTTTTTTTTTCTCTTAAATAGAGATTGTGGAAATGTTGCCTTTAATTAGTGTCATAATTAAACCTTAAAGTTTGGTTTAATATAGTTGTAAATTTTTAGCTAACAACACCTAAATAATCAGCTAACATTAAAAAATTTTAAATTTAAATGATATAATATATAAATTAAATGAATTATAAAATGAAAAGTATTTAACTCTCATAAAAGGTAATTTACATGCTAATTAAAACCTTCAGATTATCATTTCCATATCAGCCAAAACTACTTCAGCCGAAAAAAATATCAGCCAAAACCACAATTTATATCCCATCCTCCACCGCCCACTCCCTAACCCTACACCTCTTTTAACCAACCAATCAAAATTGGAAGACACACCATCCCATGTACTCTCCCCCTACTTAATTCCCAAAAATCGCCCTTCCATTTTACAATTTGACCAAATTAACCTCATTTATGCAATGCCACATAATGCAGCCACACGCTAGTTAGACGCCACTTACTACACTATAATATAACCCAATTTAATGATGCTGAAAGAAATTAAATTAATATGCTGAAATTTCACAAAATGGTTTCCATATATATTTTTTCCCTCTCGTTTCTCTCCCACCCTGTGATTTTTAAACCCTCCCCTTCTCCGGGCGTGTGGGGAAATTCCTGTTTTCTGATGCCGTCTTTTTCCGCCGGGATTTTCTAATGGTACAGGACCAAGCTCTGGCAATGGCGGAACGTGGGTTGGTCAAAGAGGAAGAGCTGTTGGAGCTGTCATTTCCGTATTCTCTTGAAACTGTTGCCAAGTCGCACTCTGCTCCGTCCAAGTACCCTGCTGCCGGTGACGATGAAGATGAGTTGGACAATTCTTTTGTCTTTCAAATTGATCGGAGCTTGTTGATTAATCCTCTCCGTGTCTCGCTCGATGAAATGATTGGCGAAGGATATCACTCCATTGTCTACAACGGATTGTGGGTCACTCCTCCTTCCTTTTTTCTGCATGATTAATTAGTTAATCTCTGGTTGGTTAGGTTAATCACATTTTGCGTGTTCTTGGATTTTCTTGGCTTGATTGGGATAATTCTTTGTTTGGATTGAATCTTCAGTTCTTCTTGTGCTTTTGTTCTTTTGGGGTTTTGAGTGGTTTATGCATGTTTTGAGGGAGGGTTGCTTTGTTAAGGAATCTTTGATAAAATATCCTGAAATCTTTGTTTCTTGTAGGATTCTTTATGGGTGTGAATAATGTCTAAAATTTTCTTTTTCTAAACGTGGTACACATTGATTCAAAATGCAATGTTGGGCTCGAGAATGATTTCATCTCATCTGCTTCATGAATTTGTTATGAATTCTTGATTGATATCTATCCTTATGGGAACAAGAAGAGACAAAACTGGCTTCTTGCTTATTTTACTTTGTTGCGTGTTCGATTGCTTCTGAAATTTCATTGAAGTTATTATAGAAATTACTAGTTTAGATGTTTAATGGTATGTCTATGTGCATTGTGGCATGTGATAGCGAGTGCAATTTAAATATACATATATGCACGGAATCACTTTAATTAACCTTAATTGGTGGGAGGAGCTGTACAAACCTTTATTGTATTAGTTGCTCACATCCAAATTCTGCGTGGATTTTGGACAATGGTGTTGGTTTTGTCATTTGCATAGAAAAAGTCGAAAACCGTATCAAAAAAATGAAGCAAACTTTGAGCAGCTGCCCGTGACATTCTTGAGTTGAATAGTAAAGCAGTAAAAATCACCACATAAAAGTGTAAATAGGAAGGTACGTGATCTTGTAGTGTTCATTTTTAAACTTAGGTGCCTTAGGGTGGAATCTGTGGATGCCCAGAAAAGAATTTAAGAAGCACCATACCTGGAGCTCTTTGATGTGCTCTCTAGAATAATATGGTGCTATGTAAGCTATGGCAGTCAGCCATGGATCCTGTAGATTTTGTATGGGCCGATTTGTTCCTTTTTTTTTGAAATTTTCTGGCATTAATTCTGCTTACATTTTGATTTTTGATAAAGAGTTTGTCATATATCAGTACTTTATGATGCAAAAGTACTTAATGAAACCAGAGTAAATAAAATATGGTATAGAATGAAAAAGGTCCAAATAAAGAATATATCTACTGCAACACACTTTATAGCACTTCCTGTAGACAAGTGGGAAGAAACTCAAGAAAACTCGTTTTTGTCACATTCTCTGAGACCAAGAATTTCATTAGACTAATAAAGTTCCTTATGAATTTGCAGCAAAGAACAAGGAGTAAACGTTAAAAAGGACATGAATACTGCAAAAGGGAGTGTAGAATAGAGAGTTAATCTGGCTCTAATTGATCTGAAATGAAGAAAAGACCTGTAGCTGGTTAAATTTGTTCACAACCAAGGATTATCTGAGATCTTAACTTAGTAAGATTATCCGTATGATTAACATATCGCTGGAAATCCTCATTACCATTTTTATCCATGACAGCAAATATATGCTCTTTTCTCCCAGCATGCTACCGTAATATGGCAAAAGACAGATATTTACTATATGTTTTGTGATGTCATGTTTGATTTGCATGCAAACTACAATGACATATGCAAAAATGATGTTTTATTATATTGCTTGTGACGTCATATTTGCTTGCGTGCCGAGAACCCATACCATTTATATTTGTACTTTGTGTGTCCAAGATTACGGTTATTATGCCAATGTTTTCTGTGCTAGAATTGGTAAATTTACGACCAACATATGTGATGCATGATTGTTTGACTTGGCTCCAGATATGATTCCAATCCAGTTGCTGTGAAGGTTATTCAGCCAAGCAGAACATCAATAGTAAGTTGGGAACGTAAAGAGAAATTTCAGAGGGAGGTTTTACTGCTATCCAGGACGAAACATGAGAATGTTGTAAAGGTATTTAAGTTTGGTTGTAGATATTAAGAAAATACTCATAATAATTCTATCCTTCTGCATTCATTTATGCTCTTTTGATTGCTAGGAGATAATAGTAATAATAACAACAACAACAATAATAGTAATGGTAATAGTAATTTAAAAAAGAAAAAGAAAAAAAAGAAACAGATAGCAAAGACTGGATTGAAGTCTCTTGTTTCATCACATCAATGAATGCAATCATGCATGTTCTTGAACTTAATCTAGGTTGCCTCATATGTATCCGTTTTAGTTTAGCAATTTCAGATTTCTATTTATATTTTATAGAGAAAATGTGAACATGAACTTTACCTGTTCAGAACCAATCATCTTCATTCAGAAACTTAATCTTTTAATAGTAAACATGATTCTTTACGTGCTTAGGAATCACTGCTACCATGATGGCACATATTGATGCATTCTTTGTATTTATTTATTTTTTTAAACTGATATGTGGTTTTACTGTATTTTATTGTTGGAAGAAAGTTTTGGTTTTCTGAATTAAAATCCTTATAACTTCTTATCTAATTATCTTGTTGTGGACTTAGATGAAAAAACTGGTAATATTTATTAGCATTTTTTTTTTTCTTTCAGTGTTGGTGTCTGTATCTTGATTAATAACCATTCTCCTGATTTGGATGTGTTTTGCTGAAACAGTTTATTGGTGCTTCTGTCGAACCAACGATGATGATAGTTACTGAATTGATGAGAGGTGGTACACTTCAGAAATATTTGTGGAGCATTCGTCCTGAGCGTCTTGATATGAGGCATTCTTTAAGTCTTGCATTGGATATTTCCCGAGCTATGGAGTGCTTGCATGCCAATGGCATCATTCATCGTGACCTGAAGCCAAGTATTTCATTCACTTTTGACATCCGTATCTGTATGGTTGGTTCATTTTATTGGACAGACAAAAATATTGTGTTGGAAAATCATTAGTTCTGGTTCGGAAACATATTCATTGTGTAATGAGTGATTGTGACACCAGACATGTTAGAAGTTAGAACATGCTTCCCATTCATAAATTATGATTTCCAATGGATAATTCATGAATTTTTGTCCCTCTTCATGGAAATTAACTGCCTAGGTTTTGAAAGCCAGTTTTCAACGTTAGCCTTGTAAGGAAACACCCCTACGAATGATATAGTAATCCTTGAGCACTTGTGACTTGTGAAATTAGCTGACGTGCTTCTAGCAGATAGTCTATTCCTCAATCCTAACTGACTTTTCATGTTTTACAGGCAATTTACTTCTCACGGAAGACAAAAAACAAATAAAGCTGGCTGACTTTGGGCTTGCTAGAGAAGAGATAATGGATGAAATGACTTGTGAGGCTGGTACTTACCGGTGGATGGCTCCTGAGGTGCTTGTTTTTATTGTTTCAGATATTCATGTAGCATTTATCTTCCAATTATGTCCAATTCTTACTTTACCTATATTTCAGTTATATAGCAGAGATCCACTTCCCGTTGGAGTGAAGAAACACTATGACCACAAGGTGGATGTATACAGCTTTTCAATTGTTGTCTGGGAGTTGCTGACAAACAGAGCTCCATTCAAGGGGAGGCCTAATATTACAGTTGCATATGCTACAGCGAATGTAAGTCATTTGAATTTAGTCAAACCTAATAATGAATGATGGTTGAAATTTTCTTTCTTATTCTTTTCTTTCTTATTCTTTTCCTTCTTTTCATTTTTTCAAAATTTTCTCAGATTATCACAAAGTTATAAGTTTCCAAGTGTAAAAACAACAACAGTGCACTGTATGATAGTTGTATTTAAACGTTATTCATTGTACTCAGTAGTAAATATCCAGTTATTGATATACCAAAAAAGAATCTAGTGATTTGCTGCTGAGGAGGGTTGCAACATTTTACTGACACCTCTCTTTAAACTTTCAGAATGAAAGGCCTAGCTTGGAAAATCTTCCAGAAGATATTGCATCGCTCTTGCAGTCATGTTGGGATGCAGATCCAAATGTCCGGCCAGAATTCAGAGAAATAACAATCTCTCTCACAAACATCCTCAACAGCTTAGGCTCAACAGACATCCAACCTGCAAGCCCTGCTGATATTGAAGGTTCCAAAGACAATGCCAAGGAAGGTGCCATTAGCAGCGACGAAGTTACAAACAAGTCGCAAAATAAGCACAAGAGGCGTAAGAGTTCATTTTCTGTCTTCCTCAGTTGCTGTCATGGCCTCTCATCTGATACATAAACTGGGATGATGTGTGATGTCCTTTTTTCTTTTTTTTTTTGAGGAATCTTGTCTGGGGTTAGAAGCTGAGGACTCCAAACTCGGGTTATAAACTAGAAATGTATAGCTTGACAGCTGCAAATCCTAACTGCGCTGCAATATTTTCATAAACATCATATAGAACTCATGATACAAAAAGTTTATACTTGGGAATTAAAAGTGAAAAGGTCAAAAGCTTTTTGGGAGAATTTTTGGTGCTTCTTTTTTTTTTTTTTGGAAGTATTTTCACTGTTTCATTTTAAGTGCTCTTTTAAAGGGCATTAGTAACTACCGGCTTTCTTGTGAATCCATTGGACCTGAGCTGAGGCCCATTTATCCGATGTAATGGGACAATAATAAAATTAATTTTATTTATAATTAAAAAAAAGGTTAAATCCCTAATTTGGCCCTGAAATTATTGTATAAAACTCAAATTTGGTCCTTAAACTAAAAAAATTCTTGATTTGATTAATAAACTATTATACAAACTCTTGATTTGATTTTACTGTTTATCAATTTATCATAAATTAGTTCTTTCATATAAAAAACAAATGACGTATCTCGTTATTAATGTAAGATGTGATCGTTAAGTAATTGTTTCTCATTATTAAGTAACAGACGTGTTAGTTTTTTTTTTTTGTCTCTTAAATGACCAACTTGGGATTAGTAAATAGTAGGACTAAATCACAGATTTTTATAATTTAGGGATCAAATGAGAATTTATACAATAATTTAGAGACCAAATTAAAGATTTAACCAAAGGGGAAAAAAAAGGCGGTGGGGTGGGGAAAGAGGAAAAGTGATGGTTAATTAGGATAAGGAATGATAAAGCAGAAATGACGTGGATAGCACAGATGGCAAAGCGCACTAACTTGAGGGAAAGAACCGTGGAGCCAGCAAAG